AGTGTGAGACTAACATCAATGATTGTGCCTCTCTTCCATGTGCTAATGGAAAGTGTGTTGATGGTGTTAATAACTTCACCTGTAACTGCACAGGATCTGGCTACACAGGCCCGACATGTTCTGACAACATCAATGAATGTGCCTCCTCTCTGTGTCTGAATAATGCAACGTGTCATGACTATATTGGTACTTATGCCTGTAGATGTGTAAGAGGCTTTGATGGGAAACACTGTGAAAACAACATTGATGAGTGCAGTCCAAATCCTTGTGATAATGGAGGTAATATCATGTGAACAAAGTCTAGATTTTGTAGCATGTAGAATAGCTAGCATCTCATAAACCTTTGAACTAGGTGAAAAAGTTTGCTTTTTACACCCCAAATCAATAATTTCTCATGCACAGATTGGCTATTTTTTATGTCCAGTAAGAGTGCAGACAAATAAGCTGATGTCAACAAGTGCACGATTTTTCCCTTGCTGTTTGTTTTGATACTTAAAAAACAACAAAAAATGTGTGTCAATTATTTTTTGTGGTAAAAAACAAATAGAGTTCCCAGCTTTTCAATGGTCTGTATTCTTATCCAACATGGAATGACATCAGCATATGAACCAAACTTTGCAGTGAAACCACTTGCCACGCTTGTGGTTCCACTTGAGTTTGGATCATTGCTGATGCCATTCCATGTTTGGTATTGAGTGCAGACCATAGAAAAGGGACCTCCATTTGCTAATTTCAATAGGATGGATTATAAGTTGATTTGAAAAACTTGCTGTATGTTTGCTATTTTTTTCAGGTACTTGTACAGATAAGATTGATGGCTTTAATTGTGCTTGTCCTGCTGGCTTTAATGATACAAAATGTGAAAACGACATTGAAGACTGTGTTAACAACAACTGTAACCCTAACCAAAACTGTGTTGACCAAATCAACCATTATTTGTGTGTCTGCAAACCAGGTGAGTCCAAAGCTATACTTGATCAAAAGATTATTTGTCTTAGTAATTTGATCATGCATTGCTGATCATCTTTCATCAGGTTTCACTGGAAGCAACTGCTCAGTAGATATTGTCGAGTGCTTGAGTAATCCATGCAAGAATAATGGCACCTGTAATGAAGGTGTTAATGGCTACAACTGCTCCTGTTTACCAAGGTTTAATGGCACATATTGTGAACTGGACACCATTAATGACTGTGCATCTCAACCATGTTTGAACAATGGTACTTGTGTAGATGGAGTAGCTGATTTTAACTGCAATTGTACAAGAGGATTCCATGGAAAGAGGTAATGACATCTAGAATATATATATATAAACAAAACATACTGAACTCCAGATCAAAATTCACTTTAAATGCATGTGATAATGTTTTCACAAAT